GACAAAAACCCAGAAAATATAGGAAGATATGGGGAATATTTTTATTTGTGTGTATTTACTTGTGTGTCCCAGGGCCCCTTCAAAGGGGGGTGGCTATCATGGCCCCCTCTTCTTTCAACATGTCCTCTGGCCCCCCTCGTCCGCGCGCGTGCGAGCTCTGCCATGAGAAATCGGGCATGGAGATGTCCAGGGATCTCGGCTGCGACGGCATCGAGCAGCGCCTGCTCGGGAGGAGGAGTGCAGAGGCGCTCTCCAATCGGCGACTACAAACTTGGCATCGCTCGGACGTGTGCATTTTTCCTTCGGCGAGGACCATCGAGGAGCATCCTTGATCATTTGGCGAAAAAAACCACGCACGAAACCGAACAAAAACACGGGGAATGGACGTCCGAGCGATGGCCAGCAAAGGCCATGGTCACGCCAGGGTGTGGCTTGCGATCGGCACCTGCTGGAGCACGGGGCGCACGACGCCGTCCTCGCCGGGCCTCCCCGGGGCGCGGCGGAGGGCTCTGTGCCGAGGCCGAGGCTCCCGCCCGCCCCCCGGGGTGCACCCTGGGGCGCCGATGGCAAGCCGCACCCCTTTGCAGACGGCACCCCTCGGAGTCGCCGCTCCAAGCACGCGCGGCCTCGGGTGGCACGGCCGCCCCAGTGTCCCCCTGCGCGCCCGCGCGCGCGCCGCTGCTGCTGGCCCGTCGCGGGCTTGCCGGGCGGCGCGTCGTCGTCGTCGTCGTCGTCGTCGTCGTCGCCTCCTCGAGCTCACGCGGCCGTCGGCGTCTGCCACGTGCAGTTCTCTCTCGCTCTTCTCTAACTGAGCTTCTGTATGTCGGCGGCGAACGCCATGATCTCGTCGAAGATCCCCGAAACCTCGTGGGAGCAGCATATCAGAGCGCACCCCTCTCCGTACCCGAAACCCTGCAGATCCATGAGCTCGAACACGGCGCCGCCCCCCGCACTGTCGCAGATGATTCATGATGATTCATGATGTTGGCATGCTGTTGCCCGAGCACAGCCTGTGTTCTCCGCCGCCTCCGCGGCAGATCGCACGTGCCGCACGACTGCCGCGGCGTGCCCGCAGCCGCGTCGCCGCACGACCGAGGGTGATCGCGATGGCAGCTTGGAGATCCCTCGATGGCAAGCGGCCGCGGCGGAGTAGAGGGCCCAGCGCCGATCCGAGAAATCCGCGCGGACCTCGGAGTTTGTATGTTTATGTCACTGTTCGTTCGGAGGTGGAGGAGGGCCCAGCTGTGGAGGAGGAGGAGGAGGAGGAGGAGGAGAAGGAGGAGGAGGAGGAGGAGGACGATGCCGGGAGCGGGGATCGTGTAGAGTGAGAAAAGGACGGCGAGAAAGCAGCACGTGGGATAACCGGAGGGGGGCAGGAGGAAGAGGGGGCGGATGAGTTGGAGAAGGCGACAGGCATGACGACGGAGGGGAGACGTGTTCGGCAGGGAAGGGGGGAAGGAGAGGGAGTTTGAGGAGGAGGAGGAGGAGGAGGAGGAGGAGGGGGAGGAAGGGGAGGAAGGGGAGGAGGAGGAGGAGGAGGAGGAGGAGGAGGGAGGAGGAGGCGGAAGGAGTAGGAGGAGGAGGCGGAGGAGGAGGCGGAGGAGGAGGGGAGGAAGGAGGAGGAGAGGAGGAGGAGGAGGAGGCGGGAGGGGAGGGGTGAGCGGGAGGGTGAGGGGGAGGGGGAGGGGGAGGGGGAGGAGGAGGAGGAGAGGAGGAGGAGGAGGAGGAGGAGGAGGAGGAGGAGGAGGAGGAGGAGGAGAGGAGGAGGAGGCGGAGGAGGCGGTAGGAGGAGGGGGGAGGAGGAGGAGGAGGAGGAGGAGGAGGGAGGAGGAGGAGGAGGAGGAGGAGGAGGAGGAGGAGGAGGCGGAGGCGGAGTCGCGGAGTCGGAGCGGAGGCGGAGGCGGAGGCGGAGGCGGGAAGCGGAGGCGGAGGCGGAGGCGGAGGCGGAAGGGTCGGCGGCGGAGGACGGAGGAGGAGGAGGAGGAGGAGGAGGAGGAGGAGGAGCGAGGAGGAGGAGGAGGAGGAGGAGGAGGGGTAGGGGAGGGTTTTTAGGGGGAGGGGAGGGGGAGGGGGAGGGGGAGGAGGAGGAGGAGGAGGAGGAGGAGGAGGAGGAGGAGGAGGAGGAGGAAGAATAATCATAAACATTATAACCATAATAGAAATACTATTAAGAAGAAGACGCATCAGCATAAGCATAAGCAGAAGCAGACGCACACGCATAAGCAGAAGCAGACGCAGACGCCGAAACCTAAGCAGACGCAGAAGCAGAAGCATAAGAAGAAACACACGAATACGAAGAAGAAGACGAAGAAGATCAATAAGACGACGAATCCAAGTAATAATAAGAGGGGGAGGAGGAGAAGGAGGAGGAGGAGGAGGAAGAGGAGGAGGAGGCCGGAGGAGGAGGCGGAGGAGGCGGAGGAGGAGGAGGAGGGGAGGAGGAGGAGGGGGAGGGGGAGAGGGGGGAGGAGGAAGGAGAGGAGGAGCGGAGGAGGGAGAAGGCAGCAGAGGAGCAGGAGGAGCAGGAGGAGGAGGAGGAGGAGGAGGCGAGAGGAGGGAAGGTGCAGGAGGGGGAGAGCAGAGGAGGAGGAGGAGGAAGGAGGAGGAGGAGGAGGAGGAGGAGGAGGAGGAGGAGGAGACGGGGGAGGAGGAGGAGGAGGAGGAGGAGGAGGCGGAGGAGGAGGGAGGAGGAGGAGGAGGAGGGGGAAGAGGAGGCGGAGGGAGAAGGAGGAGGAGGAGGCGGAGGAGAGGAGGAGGAGGAGGACGAGGAGAAGGAGGAGTGGAGGAGGAGGAGGAGGAGGAGGGGAGGCAGGAGTGATGAGAAGAGGGGGAGAAGGAGAGGAGGAGGAGGCGAAGGAGGAGGAGGAGGAGGAGGAGGAGGAGGAGGAGAATGAGGAGGAGGCGGATGAGGAGGAGGAGGATGCAGGATGCCGAAGCGCAGGATCCAAGCAGCTCGGTGGGCTCCGCGTGCATCTGCTGCGTTCAGTGCTTCTACGGGTACCTGGTACACCTGACGGAGAGCGCGTGCCCCCTTTCGGCGGTTTTCACCCTCGTCCCGCCCCACACCCCCCACCCGAAGTTCAGGGGGGGGGAGAAGGGACAGCGAGGACAAGAGAGAGAGCAGGGATAATACACAACGTTTCCCCTTCGTCCCCACCCCCTCCCCTCGAAGTGCCGCGGAGAGGGAGGAGGGACAGCGAGAATAATCAGGAGGAGGGAGAGTGCGAATAATGCGGAGGAGGAAGGGCCTGTATGGGGTGGGAGGAGAGGGGCCCCAGATGGAGCATGGGGTGAAGAGGAGGAGGCGGAGGAACAAGAGGAGAGAAGTATAATGCGCATGAAGCAGTACTATTCAGCGTGCGTGATGCAGCCGAAGTTTGGCGCAACATGGTGGCTCGCAGGGGTACTTGCCGTCCCTTTACCCGCTCTCCAGCGAGGTGCGAAGGCGGAGGGGGAAACTATGAAGATGAGATGGACAACGAGGGCGAACATAGGAAAGGGCAGGGCCAGGGCAGGAAGAGAAGGTTGAGCGGAATGCTGGCGGCACTGAGGATTCGGTTCGGATGAGCATCTAAGAAAGGTGGGCAAGGACATGTTGCCAATGAACCCGGCGCGACCCCGATTAGCGGAACGCTTCCTAAGCAGGACGCATACCGCGGCCGCCAGACCCCAAGTTGTCCCGAGAGTCCCCGAGAAACCCTGGGACTCCCGCCTCGCGCCCTCGACAAACACGGCTGCATACCGCGGCCGCCAGACCCCAAGTTGTCCCGAGAGTCCCTGATAGTCCTTGGGACTCCCGCCTCGCACCCTCGACAAACACGGCTGCATACCGCGGCCGCCAGACCCCAAGTTGTCCCGAGACTCCCCGAGTCCCCGGGAGTCTTGCCGCGCGCCTTCGGCAAGCACGAAGAGCACAGAAATACACATTATACCATGACATAACATAACACAGCAATACCATGACAAGCACAGCGTAATATAACACCACGAAACACATCATGGCAGAACATTGCAGAACATCACACGGCATAGGACACCACACTATAATATAATGGAGCATACCATAACACTAAATGACGACACATATCATACCATGACACAACATTCAGAGCAAGTCACAACACACCAACATAACACAGCGACGAATACGACAAGACACAATGTCACAACACACTATATCATAACAAAGCACGAGCATGACATAACACGACAGAACATCAGATGGCAGTATCAGTACAACACATTGCATGTCATAAGAGCACATAACATGCCCTACCACAGCATGACATAATAGCACAACATAGTAGACATAACACGACATGCCATACCATATCATAACATACCATGGCAGAACAATACATACCATGAGACAACATAGCACAACATAGCATCACATAACAAACCTGACATACCATATCATAACAACTCATGACACTCTACATCATAGTATAGCATTACAATACATACCATGGCATGACATTGCAGAACATGCCATGACATAACACACCATACCATAACATGACCGAGCATACCATGACACACCTTGACGGAACATGTGATACCACGACACAGCGTTCAGAACATGGCATACCACGCCAACATAGCATAGCGACGAACACGACATAGCACATCGCGTCACAGAATACGATAACATAGCGCGACCATGCTATAACATGAGCAGGATCAGTACACCAGACCATGACATAACATCACACAACATACCATATCATATCATGCACAACGTAGTAGACATATTACGACATAACAGACAGAACACGACCTATCATGACAAAGCAATGTACAGCATGACATACCAGGGCACAACATAACGTCACATAACGAACCACATCAAAACATCACATAACAGATAACCACATAACATCAGAGAACAAACCAAACCAGAGCACACGATAACATCACATAACAAACGAAAGCTAGGCCAGACCCCCAGTTGTCCCGATAATCCCCGAGTCCTTGCCGCCGCCCCGCTGCGGGCGGCCTCGCCTGCGCCCCTCAGTGTAAGGATGGGAGGGGGGAAGAAGGAGGAGGGGAAGGAGGCATGGGGCAGGAGAAGGAGGAGGACAGGGGCCCTAGGTTTCGGTGGGGATCGCTCGAAGCACATACTTTGGCGTTATTTGGCATTGTTTTGTTTGGTATTGCTTAGAATTTCTTGCATTGTTTGGCCTTGGCATTGCTTGGCATCACTGTTTGGCACCGCTTGGCGATGGCATTGATTGGCCTTATTCGGCGATGCTCAGCGTCGCTTGAGGTTGCTTGGCATTGCGTGGCGTTGTTTGTTGTATATGAGTTCGCTCGGCGTTGCTGGGCGTTGCTCGTCGTTGCTTGGCATTGCTTGGCCCAGTTGCTTGGAACTGCTTCGCTCTGCTTGGCGTTGCCTGGCGCTGCTGGGGAACAGGGCCAAGCAGCCCGAGGAACCCCAGCATTAAGGGAACAGGAGCAGACAGCCCTAGGGGGCCACGTGCGAACCCTGCCCCTACCCCCCACGATTTCTGAGGGAGGGGGGGGGGTCACTTCGCTCGGGAGCTCCCGCACGAAGTGCACCCTACCCTCCCCCTCAGAAATCGTGCGGGGCAGGCGCAGGGTTCGCCTGTGGCCCCCTAAGAGCCCGAGGACGGTCCCTCTTCGGAGCGGTGCGGCGACGGGACCCGGCCAGAGGCCCCCCCCGCGACACAACAACAGCACGGCACGGCGGCGCCATCCCGGGGAGCCCCCGAGGCAGGCTGGCCGTCGCAGGCCCGGCAGCCGCGGGCCCTTTCAGACGGGCGAGCTCCCTTTGTACGGTGGGTTCGTGTCGTGTCGACCGTAGGGGAACAACTCAGGAGGGGAAAAAACACACAGACACAATTAATCGTCGATTCCCAAGAAAATATGGGAAAATATGGGAATTGGGCGGGAAGACAAAAACCCAGAAAATATGGGAAAGTATGGGGATTAGTTTTATTTGTGTGTATTAGTTTGTGTGTCCCAGGGCCCCTTCAACAACAAGTGGCATAAACACACGAACTCGGAGGTCCGCGCGGATTTCTCGGATCGGCGCTGGGGCCCCCCGACGGCGCCTCCGGCGCCGGAGCGCGCCAGGGGGGGTCCGGCGCGGCTCCGAGAAGTCCGTGCGGACCTCCGAGTTTTTATGTTTATGCCACTTTTTGTTCCCCTAGTCGTGTCGACTGGCGGCGACTCCGCCAGCGATGTTCGACGCTGAGCGCCGCGGGCGGCCCAGCATCGTTCGCCGTGGATCGGGGGCGGCAAAAAGAGGGGGGCGATGGCCAGGGGGGGGGGGGACATCCTGGCGTGGGCCCCGGTGTGCTGTCCCAGATCTCGTGGCGCCCCTTCTGATCTCATGACGCCCCTGGCCCCGCGCCCCCCCCTTGGGCCGCGCACCTGCCGCCGGCCATGGTTTGCGCTCCCCCCTCCTGGGCGCCCCCCTCCTAGGCATCGCTCGGACGTGTGCATTTTTTCTCGGCGAGAACCATCGAGGACGATCCTCGACCATCTGGCGCAACAAAAACCACGCACGAAGCCGAAAAATGCACAGCGAATGGATGTCCGAGCGATGGCCAGCCTCTTGGCCGCTCCCGACCTTTGTAAGGTAGGGTTGTGTCGTGTCGACCGGCGGCGACCCCGCCGGCGACGTTCGACGTTGAGCGCCGCGGGCGACCCGGAATCGTTCGCTGTGGACAGATTGGGACGTTTCGGAAGCGGCCGATCGTCCAGGGTTGAGCGATCCCCGCGGTGTCAGAAGCCACCGCCGAAGTCGGCAGGACACGAACTTGACGTAGAAAAGCCGTACCGGAGGAAGAAATGGAGAGGGGGAGCAAGAAGAACGAGGGAAAGGAGGAGGAGGAGTAGGGGAACGAACAATGACGTAATCATAGTAGCTCGGAGGTCCGCGCGGATTTCTCGGATCGGCGCTGGGGCCCCCTGGCGGCGCCTCCAGCGTCGCCCCTGGCGCGCTCCGCGCGCCAGGGAGGGGGTCCAGCGCCAATCCAAGAAATCCGCGCGGACCTCCGAGTTTTTCTGTTTATGATGCCATTTTATGTTTCGTTCCCCTCCGGGAGACGGGGTCTCCACCTCGGAACGCTTTTTGCCCAGGGTGTGTCGGGGGCGCTCTGGGTCTTTGCCGCAGGGGCTTCGTGCTCTTGACCGATGCTCTCGTGGCCGCCCTTCCCCTCCTCGTCGTCATCCCTCCCCCAGGCAGGCCCGGGAAGAGGACAAGTCGCTCCAGAGCGTTCTGGAGCGCTCTGCTGTCAGAGCGCTCCCGCCTGGTGCAACATACACACCCGCCAGGTCTCAGAGAGTTCCGATTTGTCCTCGTCGCCTTCGTCATCCCTCCTCCTGCTCCTCGTCCTCCTCCTCCCTCCCCCCTCCTCCTCCTCCCCCTCCTCCTCCTCCTCCTCCTCCTCCCAACATGATCTATTCCTCCCTTTCCTCCCTGCCCCTCACCTTGATCACCCCAGCCCGCGGGCCTCCCCTCCCTCCCTTCTCCTCCTTCTGCCCCCCCCCCTCCCCCCCACCTCCCCCCACCACCCCCTCTCTTCCTCTCGCGAAGCGGCTGCGGCCGCGTGGTGCGAGGCGATGCCAGCCGGCCGCGGAGGGCGTCCCCCCTCTCCTCGACTTGTCCACCCCCTTCCTGTCCTTTCCCTCCCCTCCTGCCCACCCTTCCCCCCTGCCCTCCTCCTGTCGCCCCCTCCGCCCTCCTCCCGTCTCATTGCCTCCACACTGGCATCCCGTCGGCCTCTACAGGATTGTAGTATTCGCCGTGTTGTTAGTACTGGTCTCCTCCTTGTGATGTGTGCATTCCGCCCTTGGATATCTTGGGGCCACCCAGCGTGCTTCCGGCGCTCCGTCGCCACCGCCCGCGCTGTCATAGGACCGTCCCCCCGGACGTTTGTCGGCCTGGCCGTCCTGTCCTGTCCTAGTCTGCCCCCCACTCATTCGGGGGGGGTGGATATCATGGCGGGGGCCATGATATTTCCCCAGGTTTCATGGCGCCTCTTCTTATTTCATTGCGTCCATGGCCCCCCCGGTGGGCCGCCGACATGCCGCCGGTCATGATTTGCACCCCCCCCCTCTTGGACACCCCCCTCTTGGCCGCTCCCGACCTCATCCCCCTTGCCGTTACCTCGATCCTTTTTCCTCCTGGGGTTGGCGAGACACGGTGGTGCACAGAGAAGGCGACGGGGAAGGGGGCAGCGGGGACGGGGGATGGGGGATGGGGATGGAAGGTGGCACACCTTGAGTTGTTCAGTACGGGGTCCACAGAAACCTCCGACCCTTTCCCCAGGGCTGGCTGTTCGTCCTGAGTCCTTTTCGGACAGTTCCGGGGCTCGGCGAGGGTCCCCGGCGGCCGAACACGACGTACCATTTCCATTTGGATTTCTGCTCTGGGCGCCGCCCTTCTGGCCCTTGGCCACGGGCTCCGCCGTGCTGAGGTACATGGACGTAGCGCTGAACTCCACCGACTTCTTCAGGCCGACCACCCCCCTTGGCTGGTGGCCTCTGCGCCCGGCGAGTTGTGCCTCCTCGTGCCCACTCTCGTGGCCGACGTCGCCCTCGTCCTTGGCCACCTCCCTCCTCCTTCGCCTCCTCCCTCCTCCTTCGCCTCCTCCTTCCTCCTCCTCCTCCTCCTTCCTCCTCCTCCTCCTCTCCCTTCCCCCCCTCCTCCCCCTCCTCCTCCTCCTCCTCCTCCTCCTCCTCCCTCCCTCCTCCTCCTCCTCCTCCTCTCCTCCTCATTCCTCCTTTTTCCTCCTCCTCCTCCTCCTCCTCCTCCTCCTCCTCCTCCTCCTCCTCCCCCCCTCCCCCTCCCCACCTCCTCGCCCTCCTCCCCCCCCCTCCCCTTGCAGGCGACGCGCGCCTCGAAGCGCCTCGGAGGGTACGTCCGCCCTGGCGCCTCGTCGGCCAGGCTGTTGGGCCCCGCCGTTCCAGGCAGGCAGGCCCCCCATGCAGCGGGGGGCCCTGCGCTGAAGTCGGGCGCGCCCCTCTCCAGGAGGAAGGCTCGAGAGAAGTCAAAACAAATAGCCTTATGTCGGGCCTGTCCCCCTACAGGGGGATTTTCGACGAAAAATAAAAAATACCTTAAAATAATAATAAATAGTCCAAAAATAGTCTGGGGACTATTTTTTTTAGTATTTGTCGACCCTTTGGGGGTATTTTTTGAGGGTACTTTTATTTTTCATCGAAAATCCCCATGTAGGGGGACAGGCCCGACTTAAAACAAATAGCCTGGGGACGAACGATCGTTCGAGAATCGCTTCACCACGTTTGAGCATGCTCTGACCGTTTTTCATGGTTCCTCCAAACTCCGCCTGTAGGCGGAGCTGCCCGACCAAGCCCTACGCCCGTATTCAACCACGCAGGGGGCAGTTTCTCGCGGCCAAGCTGTAGGCCTTGAGAGACCCCCAAGCGCCCTTACCTTACCCCTTACCTGATCTCCCCCTAGGCGGCTCAGCGCGGCGGTCGTGTCCCCTGGCCCGCCTTGCCTTAGCACCAGTACAATGTGTCTCTGGTGCGATAGCTCAAGCTCCTGAGTCAGCCCTGCCCAGTACGGCGGGTTGTTGGACCTGGCTGCACTCCAAAATGTTGTGCATCCTCTTAGGATCCACACCTGAGAGGTCACGTACGAGGCCCGATCAAGGACTCGTACACTTGCCTGGCTCCGCAGACTGAGTCGTCAAAGGGGCTGGACCCGACAGTACTTTCGCCTTGGCATTATACATTACTACAGTGCAGCTGATTCAGGAATTCAGGAAGGAACATCACGACTCCAGGGTCCCCACTGGACACTTGAGGGCGTGGCAGTCGCAATGCTGATGGCGAGCTCGTACTGTAAGGAGCCCATGCTTGTGGGGTCGAGCTCGTCAGTTGCAGAGCCCTCCTCGATCTCATGCTTCCGTGTTGCCACGAGTTGCCCCTCAGGCCACGTGTTGTTTCAGTCTCGTCCGAGCGTGCGGGGCGATTGCCGACAGGCGCGGGGAGCGGAGGG